AGGCGAGGCTCGCCCTTCCACGCCGCAAAGACAGGCGTCCAACGCCAGCAAGAGCAACATCACCGCCCCCAACAGCGGCAACCCCAGCAGCGGGGCCGCGCGGGCCGGCGGCACGCACAGGTCTGCGTCCTGTGCCTTCTGCATCTGGCTCCTGCAGTCACTCATCCACATCTTGCAGCTCGGGCAGATTTGGAGGTACCGTATCTGGGGCGGGGAGGAGGAGGTTTGCTGCTGCTGCTGCTGCTGCCGCCGCCTGCCACTACTACATCCCTACTGCTTTGCTTTTGTATGGATGCCTTGTGTGGTTACCTTGGGAGTAACAATGGTCACAGGTTTTTATTTTTAAAAGAAAGAGCTGGGGCTTAATTTTCGTCTTCTTTTTTTGGAGATCACCATGCGGGGTGGGCAGGTAGTGCGAGATCAGGGGTGTGGAGTGGGCCTGATCACTTCTCCCCGTCTACCTTCCCGGCGCTTCACTAGCTTCTCTCCATAGGTCACAGCCCCCGCCCCAATTTCAGGGCTCCCGCTTCAGTGATTTGGAATGGATTCCTGTCCTATCTTCTAAGAATCCCTTTTGGTGGTGCTGAATTTGAAATACACGTTACAGTTTTGATGGCGTTTCTGGTTGTTTTGTTTCATGAGAAGATGTGTGACTTCTAGTTCAGTGGGAGTTATTGCTGCTCAAAAGTATCCCGTGTTTCAATTATGATTACCTGAAAAGTACTGCACTCAAAAGTAAAGAGCTCAGCAGGGACAAGGCTTGTCTTTGGAACACACATACATTTTGTCTTTCTTAAAAAGTGCATGGAAAAAATTCATTATCTTTAAATTTCATTTTTCCACACATGAATTGAAGCTTCTTCCTGCATGCATGCATGTATGTATGTATGAAACATGATTAGGTACAAATTATGGGCTTACTTTCATAATGCACTTTCTGGTTATCTTGCAGTGTCACACCAATTTTGATTTCTCGTGTAACTGAAAGTCCCTGGAGAAGGGGCCCTGTGTCATGCAAGCTTTATCACACTTGGCATCTTCATTGACTGCTTTGCTGCTTGTCACTCAATGGTCTGAGCCCTCTCCACAGATCTCACTTCCACGTACAATCTGATATTTCATGCTCAACTTGCTGGCCAGAGAGACACCATCATGTCAACATCCATAGATGGATAAAATGACAACTATAATGAAATGACATGCTCAGGAATTTATTCTTTTGACTGTATGTGTTTAATGGCTTTTTGTTTAACCGGTTCACCACTGTAAAAGTTCTCCACATGGAAGGGTACGCCTGTCGTTGCTCACACTCCAGAGCAGTTTTGACTTTGACATGACTCAGTACATGTGAAAAACGAGGAAGCTTCCTAGAAAGTGCACCAGTCAGGTGGTTATGGGACCACACTGTGCTTTGCCAGTGTTCTTTATCCATCTCCCTTAGAGTTATTTATTTTGTGATAAAATAAACGCTAAGTCATTGACCGTGGCGGGGGATGCCATGTGGAGACAGCTGGAGGAATTTGTGGAGTAGAGTTAGAAACGTCTTCCTGCTTACAGTGAACACGTCCAATTGAGAAGAGCAGTGGTATTCTTATGCAAGCAGGGTGAGCGTGGCCATAGACATTGATTTTTCAAATTGTGAAAAATTTTTTCAAGTAAATACTTTGTGGAAAAATGGTATATGATATGCACTTAGGTACTGATGTTGGAAACCTCCACATTTTGTCTTCAAAGGGAATTTCTGAAATACCATTCATGTGTGATAGCCATCTTTCCCATGAATGACCAGTGCCAAGACTTTCAGCTGAATTATCTTAGGCAAATTTAATGAAGAATTCCAATACTATGATTTAATTACTGTAATTATTAGTGGCAAGGCTGTTTCAATGGATAATTTCATAAAGCTTAGCATTCTATGTGATAACTCTTGGATTTGGAACTCAGTCACCTTTTAAGTTTCTGATGCTGTTCACTTAAAAGTTCCTAGAGTTATATAAATAATACAACTATTTTTGAATTCCATTGACTGCGCAGCTACTTACGTTTCCTACAGATGGACACTTTTTGAAAAACCTGATAATTCTGTGAACTGAAGATGTAGTTTTAATTATAATTATGTTAATGATATCTCATAAACCAAATACTTTCTCAATTACAAAATATGTTTAGTTTTTTTTAAGGAAGGAAAACACAGAAAATGAAAAATAATTAGGAAAA